GTAGGGAACAGAATTTCAAAAAACCAAAAAGTGTCTTTAGAAAAAGTAAGTTATTAAGTTGATTGTCCTTTCAGCTACATAGTAAAGTAACAACAAAAAGTTGTCAATACAGAATTCTTTTTCTTTTCAGTGTATATGAGAGTTGTAGATTGACACTATTGCATATGATTTGCATTTACAAATATTAGAGATGTCATTGCAGTTTGAGTCTAAAAGGCTCATCAAAAACTCTCAGAGAAAGCTATAAGTTCACAGTTTTAAAACACTTTAACTGGCCATTTCAGTACCTGAATTCTGACTTTCTTATATACAGCATAAGGTTTTATTACCTTTTAAAAACGGTAAATCACTAAAATAGATTGTTTTTATATAAATTGCCTCCAGACAAAACTGTTCCCCACCTTATATTTAGATAATTATATTTTAAGCTTAAATGCAGGAGTTGGTTCATTCTTAAGTGTCCTGTTATCCTAGCTTATCATAATCCTTTCGAATTTTGAAACTCTTATGTTATATTTTCTTACTAGCTTTTCATCTTGCACAAATATTTAAATAAGCTTTCTAGTCTTTATTGAAGCTCACTGCTAGAGACCTCTTTTTATTACTCTTCATAAAGAACTGTTCAACCAGTTGTGAATTTATTTACCTCTATCATTGTCCTGCCTATGTTTCTCTTTCTTACTCATAAGACTATGAGAAATCAGGATTCACTGCTGTAGCATTCTATATTATTATCAAACTTTATCAACCCTTATCAAAAAGTTTGATTAGGTTTATTTGCACTTTTTTTTTTTTTTGTAAACTAGTCCATGTTGGCTTTTTAAATCATAAGTATTTAAAAGTCACATGGCCTGATTCTCTCTTTTAGAATTGTTTAGGGATCAATAGTAAGCTGGCCATTCTGTACTTTCTGGAATGTTCCCTTTTTTATTATTATGTTTTTAAATTCTCACCTGAGGTTATTTTTTTTAATATATTTTTATTGATTTCAGAGAGGAAGGAAGAGGGAGAAAGAGATAAAAACATCACTGATGAGAGAGAATCATTGATCGGTTGTCTCCTGCACGTCCCCCAACTGGGGATCGAGCCCGCAACCCGGGCATGTACCCTTGACCGGAATTGAACCTGGGACCCCTCAGTCCGTAGGCTGATACTCTATCCACCGAGCCAAACCAGCTAGGGCCTGAGGTTATTTTTTCCATTGATTTTTTTAAAAAAAGAGGGTGCCAGAACCAGTTTGGCTCAGTGGATAGAGCGTCGGCCTCCGGACTCAAGGGTCCCGGGTTCGATTCCGGTCAAGGGAATGTACCTTGGTTGTGGGCACATCCCCAGTGGGGGGCATGCAGCAGGTGGCTGATCGATGTTTCTCTCTTATCGATGTTTCTAACTCTCTATTCTTCTCCCTTCCTCTCTGTAGGAAATCAATAAAACATATTTAAAAAAAAAATGTCCAAATACTAAAAAAAAGTTACATATATATATAAAATAATAATAAAAATTAAAAAAGAGGGAAAGGGAGAGAGTGGAGGGGGAGAGAGAGAAACATCAATGTGAGACACATCAATTGGTTGCCTTCCCCATGTGCTCTGGCAGGGGCTGGGACAAACCAGTAACTCCTCTGTCCGCAGGCTGAGACTCTAACTGCTGACCCAAACCGGCCAGGGCTGGAAGGTTCCCTTAAAAAATAATTAAAAATCAGGGCAGTATTTTTTTATTTTTTATTTCTATTTAAAATTTTGATGTTTAATTTATTTGGGTCTTGAGATTTAATTTATTTGGGTCTAGAATCTTAAATATGTTTAAATAAAGTAGCATTCTAGGACCCCTTTTAAACTGTCACAGACTTCAGTTTCTTTTCATTTTTGTCTGGTCTTTCCAACTTGAGGGCAGCAGCGATAGTTATAGGTAGAAAAGACAAAGGCAAATTGTTTTTGAGCCTCCCTTCTCTCTATAATCAGTTAACTTTATAGGATCTTTCCCCAACTGATTGTCTTCTTGTTTCAAACGTAGCTTGACTGAGATCTTTTCATATGAAGGGATGTGTCTAATTAGGCTCGGGATTTTCTTCCTTAACCATTACGAATTTTAAGGCCACATTTCATTCTTGACCAGAATTATGTTTAAAGAATTATTTTGTATTTCCTCTGCAGATCATGAGTTTATTATTTGTTTTGCTTTTATTAGTTAAGCCTCTGTAGTCTAGCAGGTCAGTGGTCACATAGGCAAACTGGCAAACTAAATGGTGAATAACTTAAGACAGCGGTTCTTGGCCCTAACTGAGTTGCTCAATGTCATATAATTTGTCAATGGAAAACCAGAGTGAAAATCTTAGATCTGATAGGAAACTGGCTTTTTAAATTTTATTCCTAAATTTAATTTAATTTCTATTCCATATAAGTGAGCTATAACATAGGTACATATAAAAACAAATTTAGCCCTGGCCAGTGTGGCTCAAGTGGTTGGGCATTGTCCCATGCACTGAAGGGTTTCAGGTTCGATCAGTAGGTGGCATGCAGGAGGCAGCTAATCAATGTTCTGCTCTCACATCAATGTTTCTCTCTCTCTCCCCTCTCCCTTCCTCTCTTTCTAAAAATAAGAAAGACTTTTTAAAAAGTTATTTTAATGATAATTTTTACAAAAATACCTACTTTTGTGTTGTTAGGAAACCTGGCTTAATTCTTTTTCTTAGTTGAGTAATTTTTTAGGAACACACAGCCATCTTAAGTAGTGGAATTCATTAGAGATACACCAGGTGTATAGCTTTGGCTAATATACATGGTGAAAGTGGGCTCTTGCCCCACTGCTAAAAGACCCAGGTTTGAATTTAAGCCATTTGACTTTTTATAATACGTGCACATAAGCACCCAAAAGAGCTTTTTTTTTTTAAAAAAAAACACACACACTCCTAACCTCCATGTATTTTACATACACACATACACACACATATAGGTAAAATAGGTGTTCAAGGACAGAAACTGTAACATAGCAGGCCATATGGGGACTAGATTTGAAACTGGGAAATCAATACCTGAGGGTCCACATTGTTGAGATCAGTTTCTCTCTGTATGGTATCAATTGGTCCTTATGTTCCCATAAAATCTGCCCCAGCTAAACACTATGTGATCTGCGCATGTTACTTCATGATATTATTTTATATCTTAACTTTTTGAGAGAGATTATAGATAGCCCAGTATGAATACATGATCCAACAGATTTGCCTTTACTGAAATTAAAATGGCCATCTTTCCGACAAGAACTGAACAGAAAACAAATGTTTACTGCAATCTTTAAGATGAATATAGTTTACATTCATTTTTTAAAAAATATTTTTTTATTGATTTTAGGGACAGAGAGAGAAACATCAATGTGAGAGAGAGACATTGATGAGTTGCCTCCCACATCGATGCAGGAGGCAGCCAATTGATGCTTCACTCTTGCGGGGGTCCAACCCCAGCAGGTCCAGGGGTCCCCAAAGGTGTGAACGGAGACGGCGAAGAAGGAATGACACGGAGACAGCATTCAGTTGATCAGCAGCCTTGCCAGGATCTCTAGCCACAATCTCCAGCCAAGTTCTGTGTCCATGTTCTCTTGCTAGGTTCTCCAGCCACATTATCCAGGTTCTCCAGCCAGGTTCTGTAGCCATGTTCTCTC